GGGGGGGGGGGGGGGGGGGGGGGGGGGGGGGGGGGGGGGGGGGGGGAGAGCGCGCGCGAGAGAGAGACATTTTCAGGAACGCACATGTTGAGCGGCCTGGGGCGGGATCAGACACCAGAAGAGAGAGGGAGAGAGCAGCAAGAGAGGGAGCGAGGGAGATGATGGGGAATCGAATCGAAGGGGGAGAGAGAGAGAGAGAGACAGAGAGAGACAGAGACAGAGACAGAGACAGAGACAGAGGGAGGAAGGGAGAGAGAGAGAGAGACAGAGAGAGACAGAGACAGAGACAGAGACAGAGGGAGGAAGGGAGAGAGAGAGAGAGACAGATTGAACACTAAAACGGTTTGCCTGTTTAGTTTCCGACTGCAAGCCTCTTTGTGCGAACGTACGCTGCTAAACAAGACATATTTCTCTCTCGTTGTGTGCCTTGCGTATTCGAGGGAAGATGCTGTACACATCTGGCAATCAAGTGTCTGTGTTTACTGATCCTGTTGTTGCTGACCCTTCTTGTTGCTGCTGCTGCCGGCACCGCCGTGTACTGCCGGTGACAATTGTGTGGTGGTGATGGGTGGTGGTTTCAGCGACCTCCGCTTCGAGGCTTTTCGGGCGAGCGGGGCCGGTGGGCAGCACGTCAACACCACCGAAAGCGCCGTCCGGATAACACACGTGCCCACCGGCATCACAGCGTCCATACAGGTAAACAAGTGATGCAGACATATCATCCGAGCATGCATGAATGCGATTAAAACTACTGATGTGCCCTAAGGTAGGGTTGGATAGGTGGCGCGTTCCATGAGCTGCGAGAACCGACGGAAACTGCTGTCGTGTGCGTGAAGTCAACCATCGTGCGTGTGAAGGCAAGAGGTTGTTTCGTTTGTTGTTTTCGGGGTATTCTTCCGCGAAGCCCCCCACCCTTTTTCTCAGATCTTCATGGCCATCAATTGGGTTGTCATCTCGTCGTTGCAATGCATCTGTCCACTCTTGTTTTCTGCTGGACACCCCCCCCCCTCACACACACGCCCTGTGTCGGCTTGGTGTTTCTGTTCCTTGGGCTTAAAATGTGGGCATTGATGGTGTGTCAAACATAGATCGGTGTACAATGGCACCCAGGATGGCCAGGATGGGATGAAAGAAGTTGCACACAAACACGAAGTACCCCAACCCTGAAGCTGTTCTGTGGCCACTGCACGCTTGCTTCGCTGGGTCCTCCCATTGCTGATGGCATCCCACCCCTTATACGTGCGCTCGAAATGCATCTCCAAAATGCATAGGACGAGCGGTCGCAGCACTCCAACAAGGAAAAAGCCCTCAAGGTGTTAAGATCAAGGTGAAGTGTTGTTTTCTTTCGGCGCTTTGTGCTATTTATTTTATAACATGGTAGATGAATTTTTTGCAGCGCTTCGTGCTTTTTAACTATTTTTGCTATATCTACTTCTTTTTGCTCGTGGCGCTTAGCGAGCGGGGGATGGTTGATTTCGTGATTTCGCAACGCTGTGCTATTTGACGTATTCCCTTCAATAGTGTCTTTGATGTGAGCATTTGTTTTAAAGTATGCTACAGCTGTTCTCCACTGTCTCGTCGATCTGACATACTGATCCACACGCGGCAGGGTGGTCCACAATTGCACCGGAAGCCAGTTGGGTGACCAATCGAATAAAAGTCACTGGTTGATATCGCTGACTTAACTGGCTGACCCCCTGCTCCCTTTGTTCGTTCGCTCTGCCTGTTTTTCTCGACGACCAAAACCATGACAAAACAAACAATCAAACATACTTGATCGAAAACGTTAAATCCAACAAAAAGAGTGTTCGAGGTGAGGCGAGATGAGATTGCGAGGAAGGAGGCGGCCGTGAGAGCGTCCGCGGTAGGATCCGGAGACCGCTCTGAAAGGATTCGCACGTACAACTTCCCGCAGGTGTGTCTGTCGCACGACTGGGGGGTGATGCTTGTGTATGATTGGTCCGCTGCACTAATGATGCGATTTGGTCGGGGAAAGGGTGATCAGGTGTTCCTTGGCTGCGTTGACCGTTGGCGAGCGTCTCGAGAATTCTTGGTCCTGGCCTAGGACACAACCAACTCTCGCGGTCGTACCCGTTGGCGCGCGGTCACTGATGGTGAGGGCATCGTTCGGTCCTCTCCCGCACGGAGGACAAGGCTTGGTAGTCGCGCGGTTTCCAGACACGTACCTACTTTAGCAGGCGATAGCAGGAGGAGGCACTCTCCCAACAAGTGGCAAGTGTTTCAGCAAAATGTTTTTGAGCAAACTGATACGTCAATGTGGAATACAAGGCACACGCTCGCCACAGGCGGGCGGAGAAGCGTTGTATTCGCGCGTGTAGCATGCAAACAGTATGTTGTAGGGCGGTGACCGTGGCATCATCATGGTGTGTGTCCCACAATCCGAGAAGAGGCCACATAGATGATGTGGATGCATTTTTTTTGTGAAGGTTGGACTGATCGAATGAATCCACAGACAGGAGCAGCGCGCGTGTGTGTGCGATGTTCAAACATTCAAAGAAAGATGAATACACGAAAGAAAACACAGCCAACTTATCACGCAGTACATAGGCTACATGTGTTACACGCATGCACGTACTATCCACCCACCACGACGGGGGGAAACAAATTCAAATAGACGGGTGTTGTCGTTGTTATGTTGTCGGTGGTGAACGGAAAAAAAAAAATCGAAACAAACTCAGGCCCGCAGCGACCCGTGTGTGCAGAACTATTTAGTTGTCGCTATTTGTTCTTGTTCTAGATACGTTCATACAACGTCGTTTTTTGTTCGGTCCAACATTTCGACGTTGTGCAAACTGCTGTGCTACTGCGGGTCGTGGGTGCTTGTTGGCTACGGCATGTACCGCAGCGTTTGTTTGCCTGTGCCTCACGAAGGGTGAGAGCCAGGGAGGAGGTGTCATAATGCAATATGAGCAGCCAAGACCCGAGCAGGAGAATAAGACAGCCGCAGCAGCACAGCGGCACAAACGTAGGAGTCGATGACAGCAGTAGAAAAGAGAACACCAACAAACAGGCGGCGGGTGTTGTTCTGAGTTGAAGAGGACCGACCGACAACAGACAGCTAACCTCGAACCATCAATCAGCCGCGCTTCGAGCCACAACGGCGTCCCTCCTCTTAGATTCCTACAATACTTGAATGGCCTACACGCTTTACTACGACGCGGTTCAGACCTTTCTCGCGGGTGGGCGTGTTTGTTGTGTTCCTCCAGCGTGCGCAACCACGAGTACAGACGTATGCGTTTTCGAACCTGCTGAAATGCGGAGACCGGTTCTTCGCTGTTCTACCCGCTACTTAGTGCTGTGGTGCTGTGCGTGCTAAACAGAAAGAAAAGAATGTTGCAGCTGCTTCAAACAACATGAAAGACTCTCCAAGTCGAACAGCCGCCTGGAAACAGAAAAGAAAAAGAACACCCGAGCACAGCCAACACAAATGTATAACTGTACATATTTTGCAGGACCGCATCACCGATCACCGCGCGAACTACTCGCGGCACGGATGGGAGGCGATGATGCGAGGCGAGATGCTAGGGGATTTTGTCGAGGCGATGAGAGACAAGACGCAATCGGAGCAACTCAAGGCCGCCGGCTTGCAACAACAGCAGCAGTAGGGGGGAGAAGGAGGCGTGCCCTGGCCAACCGCATTGGATGAGATGGGGAGGAAGCGATTTAAGAGAGGGAATAATGCCGCTGCTCGAACTGAGTGCTGAGTCCTATGGCCCCCGCCCCCCAATATCATGGTGTTTCAATGATCCCGTCTTGGCACGAGGCTGATGGAAATGTGGGACGCCTTCTGGTCGTGTGGGTACGAGGCTGCTGAATTGTAGGACGCCTTTTGGTACCGTCTAGGCACGAGGCTGCCGGAATCGTAGTACGCACGCCTTTTTCGGCCACCAGGAGAGAAAGCTCGTGACATCGATATGATCATTGTTATTGTACGACGAGGGACCGAGAAGAATCGGTTCGCCGCTCAAGGCCACTCTTCCAACATCACCGTCAACAGCCCGCTGGCCCTTGCCCTTGCCCCCCTGTGGCTAGACCAATGGACAGAACCGTTCGCCATATCTTCTCCACCGGTGCGGAATGGAAGAAAAGGGAGACGTGTCCGGTGTCGTGATTTGTCGCTCGAACGGAATGAGCAGAGGAGAGGAACACCCATCCCGAGGTCTTGATGTTGGAGTGACGGGACTGAGAAAACTTGACGGAAAACACTAAGTATCAGTCGTCTCTCAAACGTGGTTTATTTTGTATTATAGCATCACCGCCCTCCTATCTTTCGTGTGTCGAAAGGAAGACGTGTTTTCTTGCCTGGTTGGTGTATTTTTCGTTTTATGCACCACCACACTAAAAGCGGACCAACTCCAAGGGTCAGTCCGAACAGTCCGGAAAGCAGACGACCATGTACTTACTACATGGTGCCGTATGTACAACCTTCACCTTAGGACGCGACTACCAAACACTCACAAAAATTGTCTTTGGCAGTAAAGTACAGCAGTGCATATGCACTTACCGAATAGAATACAATGAGAAACGACTATTTATTACTCGGTGCAAAACTCAAACTGACTCTACACAGACACAATTCGCCGGCAACTTTTCGTCGGCACCCGGTAGCGCCGCGGATTGTGTTCAAGCACGGCCAGCCAACCGCATGTGCGTGAATCCCCCAGCTCCCTTCAGCAAGGAACAGCCTCCCAAAAAAGCGCGCGCGTGCCATGCGGGCGTGTTCTAGCCCGGCACAAACAGCAGTAGTTAAAACATGCAACACGTCAACAACACCGCAAGTACAGTTCCACGAACCAAGCAAAGGCGCAGATCTATTACCAGCCCCCGCATTATTATATCCATCCTTGATCCCTCTTCACACACCCCGATGCGACACTAGACGCAGCATCGTCTTCGGGCGATGATGGCTTGTGGGAACCAGGGGCACTATTGGTACACCCGCCAAAATCAAGCAAAACGACACGACTACTACAAGCACAAGGAAAGCTATTATAGAGGAAACACAGCGCGTGGTCGTACCGGGAAGGTAATTGGACAGCATGACCAAGAGAAGAGGGAAGGAAGCACAAGACGACACGACCAAAACACTCCAGAAGATCGGCGATGGCCGTTTCACCGCGAAGCGACGGAGGAGGTCTTCTTCCGTGTGCTCGGCTCCAGGGCCTGCGTGCGAGCGAGCGTCGATGGCGGCGACCACGACGAGCCAAGCGTCTTCGCCACGTATCATACGTCGTCTCACAACAAACAGAAGAAGGATAAAAAAACACGATGTTTCGTCCTCACTACACTAGCGCTTGTCGGCCAGGCCGCTGGATCCCCAGTAACCCGTCCGAGCTATGACCGTCCCGGACGCCGGCACCGCCGCTCCCCCTACCCCCGCCCATGCCTCTCGCTCGGACCACGGTGCCGCCGCCGCCGTCTTCCTCGTCGGCGCCCGATGAAACGCAACCGCCGCAGCGGCCTCGACCGCTACCGCTACCGCTACCGCTCCCGCCTCCGCCGTCGAAACCCCACCCTCGCCTCCGGTACAAGACCGCTTCCCCGGAGAGCGGGGGCATTGGCTTGCTCCTGCCGGTGAGTGGCAGCGGGAGCTTGTCGAGATCGACGCTGGATAGGTCGATGGCGGGGCCTCGCGTCAGCTCGAGCCCGTCATCGTCGTTCCGGCAGGTGCAGCACCGCCCGCTGGTGCACCCACCGCCGCTCCCGCGGCCGGTAGTCCCCGCTTCCACTCCTCCTCCCCCTTGCCTACCGCTGGACCGTCCGTACTCGCACGTGCAACCGCAGTCGCCACCCGCCTTTGCCCCGTCCCCGTCCCCGTCGCCGCCACAATCTGCCGACCCCCCCCGTTGACACGAAGCCGGAGCCTCCTCGTCGCCTTCGCTCTTGTCGTCGCGGCAGAGCAGAGAGCGGAGGGCGCACCTGCCGAAGAACGGGCTGGTCTCGTCTTCGTCGTCCCACTCCTCGTCGTCCTCGTCCTCGCTGTCGTAGTCTTCCGAGTCGTCGAGCTCGAACCACCGCCGGTGTCGGCGGACGCAACCCCTGCCGTCGCCATCGCCGCCGCCACCGCCTCCTCCTCCTCCGGTTCCACCGGCTGCGCCGTTGCCGTCGACGTCCAACCGATTGCCGCCGGTGTTGCCGTCGAACCTGCGGCGGCCGCTGCCGCGCCTTCCTTCGCGGCTGGGGGGTGTTTCCGTGCTGTCGTCGTCGCCGTACTCCCCTGCGCCGCGGAGAAACGAAACGAACATGGATTGATGGATGCAGCCACGACAAGTATGGTATTGTACATCGGTTGTTTTCGAGAAAAGACACAAGAACCAAAGGGGAGAAAAAATAGGCTACAACGTACACGCCGATTCACAGACGCCTGACGACCCGTCTGTTTGGAATGGAGTCGTAGTCAATTCCTTTGCTGCTACAGGGCAGTCTAGACGAAACAGAAAAATTCGGGGCAGATTCTTCGTTCAACTCGAGCACGCACGCACACCTAGTTTTTGTCTTCCAGCGTTGAAAACAAACGACAAGAGTCACGAAAATCCTTCAGCAGTGACCCAACCCAGCCGCAACTACACAAATGCACCCGAGGCCGAAACGAAACTACAAAAAAAAAAAAAACGCCCATCCCGGACTCTAAATCTGTGCGCAAGACTTGAAACTTGCTGTGTTTCATGCAAGAAATAAATAAGTAATCCTCACCGTCGTAGACTCTTAATCTGCGCAAGACTTGAACTTGTGGTGTATTACGAAGCATGTAAGAAAAATAAAATAAAATAAACCTCACCGTCGTAGACGGTCTCCCACTTCTTGCTCTTCCGGGAAGAGCAGGCCCCATACACCGCCACGGCCAAGCACGAGGTGCCCACCCCCATGAGGATCATCACCAGGTCGGACGCGATGCCGGACACATTGAGAGAGGGAAGCTCGTACGTGCCCTGGGACACCTCCACCGACTCCGGGATGAGCTTGCGAGTCCACGTGCCGTGCGACCGGAACGAGCTCGTCTCCGAAGCCGCCTGCGCGTGCGTGAGGGGCGGCCGTGTGTTGCGTGTTTTATGTTGACGTGGCATCGCGGACGTACTGACCAGGCTGACCGATTAAAATACTCGTATTTTGGTTTATCGCTCCTTCCTTTCCCCTTAGCGACCGGCACAGCAGACCGGTGCGCGGCCGCCGCCGCCGCCGCCGCTCTTTCTCGACTTTTTTTTTTACTTTGTTCGTGGTTAAAACGTCGTTCTCTCTTTTCGTCTGTTGTTGTTCTTGTCGTATTGGCATCGGTCGGCGGACAAATAAATACCAGTTCGACTGCGGGGTGACGCAAGCACTGCCAAAAAAAAGCAACATAATACTGACACCCCCCCACGTCCACGCACACCTATGACTGAAATGAAAAAGAAACAGAAGGATTCAAAAGCTATGAAAAACGAAAAAAACTCAGAAACAAGCCTGTACCTTGCGATGGACGATGGATGAACCGCCAAACTGCAAGAAGGGAGCAGAGCGGACAGAAAAAGGAGCAACAAATACGCTCCAACACTACCAGTAAACGGGCAACAGCTTGGGTTGGGGTTAGCCTGGACAGCACCACGACCTTCACGCCATACGCATACCTTGTCCACAAGAGCACGTTTGCGGGGGCCTAGCCACCACCACCGCAACGAGCACAACTTCAAAAAGTAAAGCCAATCGATTTAATAGTGAATATCCGTCAATGCTAAGCTGAGGCCAAGAAGTAGAACGATGAGGGACAACACTATTATCGTAATCGAGGTATCGAGGGCTGGGGATGGCACATGCGGCGAAACACCCGGTGGGAGAAGGGGTCAATGGAACAAACCTGTAGAAGAAGCTGCTCCCGAAGGTTCTCGATGGGCTGATCAGCGCCAGTCTGCCCGGGAGCGATGATGAACCTCACCTAGAAGACGGTACGGTTGTTAAGAAAACAGAAATAGTGGCACACATCAAAGAATAGGGGGTCGGGGGCGGTGGGAAATGAGGTGTGTGCATTGGGTATTTGGTATTTAGAAACAAGACACCATGCATCATTTTCCAAAGTCGCCCAATGCGGAGGACACTGGGGGTACCAAGTGGTTCCACCCGCGTGAAAACAACAACAAGAGCAATCATCAGCAGCAACAACAAAATCAACAACAGAAAACAAAACAACAACAGCAGCAGCAGCAGCAGCAGCAGCAGCAGCAGCAGCAGCAGCAGCAGCGACAACAACAAGAGCATGCCCTTACACCTTACACCTTTTACCTCCATCTCGTTGTGCTTGTCGGTGTGGAAGGCGTTGAGGTCGATCACGAGCTCGACCTTGATGTTGAGGGCGTGGGCCACCTCCGCCGCGAAGCCCGAGAGGAAGGCGTCCTGTGCCGCTACGGTAAAGCAAGCGTCATCGTAGAAGGCTCGGAGCCTCATCGTCACCTGCAACAACACACACATACATGACGACAAAAGAAACAACAGCAACGCTTGAGAAAAAAGGCGTCTGTCTGCCTTCGCCTTGTTGTAGCGATGCAGACAAAGGCTCTTCCACGTCGGTGTAGTGTCCTTGACATGAAATTGTTTGGTAGTTGTTGGCGGTGGCGAAGCACGAGCACCATCGTGGGACCCTCCAAAAGCCCGATCAACACAGCCTCATACCCAACAGAACAGGGGGAACGAAAGGGAGGAAAAAAGGGAGAATCGTGTGGAAATCAATGCAGAATGCAGCTTCAGCTATGCAAGTGAAAGCCCAACCGCGCAAGGGCGGTTGTATCGGTTCGACAGGGAGCGATCCACTGGTCGACGCTTCCTTCCTGTAGGAGGAACACCCTTTCTCGCTCTCTCCTCCCCGTGTCTGGGCACACCACCAAGTGTGCTCCTGTCGTTCGTTCCCTTCCTCGTCACTTATACCACACAATGACCGACTGTTGCCTGCCTAACCTACATCACCTCTTACGCTAAGCTGTTTGGCACAGGGGATGCGAGGACGCACGGCCTGTGAGAAGTACGTACAGCCGTACAATCACATTCACCAAACCGAAACACAACAAAAGAACCGTCTTCCTTTCTCCCTTTGCTGCTCACGGAAGAGAAAAAAGAAAACTCGAAAACGACGACGCACGGGACTGACTGACTAACTCTTCGCTGACTACCGTAGCTTGCACTGCATCTCATCCCATCTCATCCCATCTCATCTCATCTCATCCCATCTCTCACATCGAGGAACATGGCGAGGCATGCCACGTTTCGGCACGACCTCTCCGTCATTGCCAGGCGGCTCTCCGGGGTCTCCCCCAGCTCCTCCCAGCAGCTCGTGTCGTTGGCCAAGGGCATCAGGGGGATGCCGTCGAGGAACTCCAGGCACTGCACCTTGCGGCGCCTTCGTGCAGAAACACACACACATAAACACACACATAACACACACAAGCGAAGGGGTGGAATGAATTTGAATAGTTCCACGGCGGTTTGATGGACACGAAGCGTCGGCGGAGACATCAAACACCACAGCTATGCAATCCATCAATCAAATGTTGTCCACGCCCCGACTAATCTGTACCATGGCATATATACGTGCGTCAAAAACCAACCCAGCGAAGGATCCCCACCTCACTCCTCCGCCGCACTTCATGTCGCACTCCCCCCAAGAACCGGGGTAGGCGCCGAGGACGGGTGACGTGCCGGACGCCACCACGGAGCAGTCGCTGCCCGAATACCTGCGAACGAGCCACAGACAGCAGACACGACAGCAGCAGCAACGACAGTAGCAGCAGCGGTGCGGTACCAGTGAACGCGGACGGAGGGACACTGCTTAACCTAGGCTGCTGCCGTATGCATACCACGGGGAAAAGAGGAGGTAATGTATGCACAGCACCCGGCCTCGACAACATGGGTGCCGTATGCACATGTGTACTGTACTCGCCTAAGGTCCAACGTCATCCCGCGTGAAGCCCTCGGTTCCTCTTGAGCACTCACGATGGGCCGAGGGTCAATCACTTACATAATGACCCCCAAGGTACTGTATTTCCTTCTTGTCGTTGTCTTGTCACACAGACCGTGCGTACACTCTCTCTGGCTCACCCTGGGTGGCAGACGCAGTACCCTCTCAGCGCGTTGGACTGGCTGCGCTGCACGAAGCACGACCCGTGGTCCCCGCACGTCACCAGGCCGCAAGGGTCCGCGGGGTCGTGCGTTACAACCTTGGTTGGACATGAATCCACGGTTGGTTTCGTTCGCGCAGGCAAAAGGACAACGGCCGCACGCAGCGAGAAGCAAGCAACAGAAGCCGGCCAAGAAAAAAAAATCCACACACGGGAGGCGTTAACGAACGTCAGGGCGGGGGGAAGAATATGCGAAGTAAAAAAGGAACATGATGCGAAGAAAGGAAGGACGTCACCAAGAAGAGACGAGTGAGGGTGAACGGCCAAGCCAAAAAAAAAAACCATCAAAACAATATTGTGTGTAACTGCTGTAACATCCATCGCGATCCAGTCGCGTATGTGAAACTTACTATGTGTACGCGACTCTGCCTTCTTGTCATTTGGTGAATAGTGTAACCTTCAAAAGCGAAATCTCTTAGCGGGATTCTTCTGTGTCTACCTGCATCGGGTCTCGAAATTTTCAGACCGGCCCTTCGGTATGAATGTTGGCGGAACAACTGCGAGCGACGGTTGATGGACGAACATCTGTCGGGAAACCATCAAACAAACACGAACACTTATGGGTGCCTATCTAGTACCCGAAGGTAACTGCAGCATCAAAAACGATCCCCGTGGTAGCACGCACATCAGGTGCAAGCAGTACTCATCGCAGCCGGGGAATGAAGGGAGAGCCAGGAAGTGATGAACGATGCGCACTGTTAACTAAAAAAATGAATGCTCCATCGTGGCCCATCGTGTCCCATGCCATTCCAGCCCGTCCCGGCTCATCCCATCCCGTCCCATTCCATCCCATCCTATCCCAGCATGTCCCATCCATACCTTGTTGGAGGGCAGGCTGCGAGTGCTGTACCCGAAGGCATTAGCGGCCACCACTTGGAAGCTGTACACCAGGCCATTGGTCAGCCCTTCCACGGTAGCCTCCGTCGGCAACACCCCCTCCCCCCCCCCNCCCCCCCCCCCCCCCCCGCCACAGCGCCGGCCGCCTCGTCCTCTCCCCCTTCCCCGACATCTTCGGTCGCGTGCACGGACGTGATGGCCTCGACGTTGATGTCGGCGTAAGCGGTGGAGGCGATGACGACGTACTTGGTCAGGTCTCCGCCGCCGTCGTCTGCAGCGGCGGACCACTGCACGAACGCCTAAACCAGCCAGCGATGCGGAGGGATGCGGACGAACGTCCTTAACCCTCCTAGTACTGGAAGCCTTTTTGGGGACGATTTGGGGACACTTTGGGACACAGCACTCAAAGGCCTGTTTACCGCATTGTAGTCAACCTAGGCTCCGCTGTATACAACGTACGTGAGAACCCTTGGTCTATCATGCTTGGCTGAGGTGGTACGCTGTGTATGCTGTGTGATGCCTCTCCTGGGCCTCTGACTTGCTGTACACATCTCCCAACCCGCGTGCCCTCCAGTTCGCAAAACTGCTGTACATCGCCTAGTACTGGAAAAATTTCTGACTTGGCTTCGGTATGAAAAGTGTCCCCGCGTGTTTTGGGGACACTTTTCATACTGAAGCCAAGTCACCCTTTGTCTGGCAAGGAGCTCAGATTCTTTGAAGGGACTGTAACCCCTCGACCAATGGCTGACAAACATATTTTCGGCATTCTTTTTTTGCGGAGGGACTGGATACTAGGAGGGTATACTCCATATTGAATTGATTTAGTTATTTATTCTTTACATAGGCACCGCTGCTGTAGATAGTTGTCCTGTTCCCAATGCGATTCCTCTCAACGTCGATTGATTGCACACATCACATATATATCCGGTTAGCCAGAACTACAGAGTAAATTGGATCGATTTTCGTGAATTGGTTGGTGGATTCGATTCCGGCCCGATGCTCCTTTTGTTTTTCGTCTGACTCGTGTAGAGAGATCAATTTGAGCGAATGATCGACTATTAATAATAACGTGATATTGATCGAAAATATTCGAAGCACGAGGAGAAACAACAGCATGGAACACGCAAAAGTACAGACGTGCACGCTTGGCGGCAATTCGAGGTTCCATCTCACCTGCTTGTTGCCGCCCTCCGCCACGACGTCTGTGACCATGCTCGGGTGCCCGTACACATCCGCTCTGTCGACGATCCAGCTGTACGTCGCGGGGGAAGGGTCCGCATTGCCCGCCGAATCCACAGCCCTCACCCTGATCTCGTGCCGCCCCTCCTGCACGGCGTGCGTGCGTACGTGCGTGCGCAGGACGACAGCGGGACGACCGGCAACCAAGACAATGAAGACGCAGCAGCAGCAGCAGCAGCAGCAGCAGCAGCAGCAGCAGCAGCAGCAGCGGCAAGGACGAAAAGAGAGCGATGGCAATTGTCAGGGAAAGAGAGAGAGAGAGAGATAGAGAGTGAGAGAGAGAAAGAGTGACAGGGAACATGTGTCCAACACTCACACTCACACATGCATCGGACTCACCAGGTTGTAAAAAAAAAATTCGCCTACCACACATCCCCACACACACAGCATGAATTACTACTCGTGAATTGCTAACCTTTCCCGGGCTCTTAAATCCGTGGAAGAGAAGAATCTGTTTCGTTCTTGCAAGCAAAAAAAAAACAAAGAAGGGACACCCCACCGGGATCAGAAACCACGACCCTCGCCGTTCATCAGAACCACGAACCTCCAAGTCGTAGAGATGAATCACACCCGAGCTATCTCCCTGCTCCCACACCACCCCAGCCTCCTCCCCCTTCCCCTCCCCGCCCGAAGTCGTCGTCGATGACGTCGACGTCGACGACGACGACGACCCAGAAGAAGAATCACGGCTCGCCGCCGTCCCACCGCTGCTGCCGGCCTCCTCGGCATCGTCATCATCATCGTCGTCGTCGTCGTTGTTATCGGCGTTGGTCTCGATGGGGTCGAGGGTGTACTCGAAGGAGGCCGCGTCCGGACCCCCCTCCACCACGAGGACCGTGCTGGTGAGGTGGGTCACGACCTCCGGCAGGACGACGAAGGTCGTGTCCGGGCACTCCGTGTCCACCTCCCAGGTCACCACCTCCGGCACCTGGCGTAGTGCAGCGTGGCATTGGCGCGGGGCAAACAAACGAGCGAGCGAGCGGGGG